CTAGTTGACTTCATGGACCTAACAATATCATTCTTAAAATATTTTTTAAAAGTTCAAAGAATATTAAGTCAGATCCAAAGAGGGTACTTTTTAAAAAAGCCCACTACATGATTTTTTCATTTCTCTACTTATTGGTAAAAAGTTGGTCTTGAATCAGAGTCCAGCACTTAAATTCTACTGTACTTTAAAAACAGTGCTACATTACTAAATATGTTGTTGATTGCCCTTGAGTCGAGCATGATCGTAAGGGAACCCTGAAGCCCCTCTGCAACTATCGACATGTATCAAAGTTCATAGTTTCCAGAGGCATATGTTGTTTAGGAAGTGGATGCCACTCCTACTTCCAAACATTAAAAAAATGAACATCCTGTAGACCTGAAAGTAGGACCAGAGGTTGGGTAGCAAAAATGTTCTAATGTTTTCCCAGTTAGAGAATTTGAAAAGTATTTTGTAGCTCTGGAAAGCAGTACTAAAATATCCTTTAAAAGTCTGTTATGTGCTGTCAATTCCATACTGACTCATAGTTGACCTTCCAGTGGGTTTTCTGAGACAGTAAATTGCATAGGAGGAGGCTGCCCATTTTTGTTCCTTGGAGCAGCTGGAGTATTCAAATCACCTGTCTCTGAGTTGACAGCGTAATTCCTTACCCAAGCCACCAGCTCACAGGGATACACTCAATATGCCTAGAGAAGGTGGGAGGAATTTTCTGATTCCTAGTCCTAGAGAATGATGAACTGAAATTCAAGTTGGGTTCTGGTCTACACTAAAAACAGATGCTTCACTCATGTGACAGAGGACAACCTCTGAATACTAACAGACTGAATGGAGAAGACGCAAGATGTTTTTATTTTGCTGTGACTAAGCAGTAATTTCATTTTGATATTCTTGTCCAACGGTACAAGGCAGGTTAGCTTGAGAGCTAGATTGCGCACTTCTGCAAAGAAATCTCCCTCACTGCCTAGAAGCATCAGTTTAGGGTATAGCAAGCTCTTGTTCAGGATCATTTCTAAATGATCTGGTCACAAGGACATTTCTACTTTATCCTATACAGTATTAGTCAATCTGTATGCAGAACAGATCATTTGCGAAGCTGGACTTTATGAGGAAGAACATGGTATTAGGATTGGAGGAAGATTCATCAACAACCTGCATTATGCAGATGACATAATCTTGCTTGTCGAAACTGAGGAGAACCTGAAGTGTTTGCTGCAAGAGGTCAAGGACTGGACTGCAGTCTTCAATATGGATTGAAGCTCGACATCAAGAAGACAAAGATTCTCACCACTGGGCCAATCGGCAGCACCATGATAGATGGGAAGGGATTGAAGTTGTTAACAATTACATCCTGCTTGGCTTCACAATCAACATTCTTGGCACCAGCAGGTAGGAAATCAAAAGACAATTGCTCTAGGGAAAGCCGCTGTCTGGGATGTCTCCATAGTGCTGAAGAGTAATGATGTCAGTCTACAGACTATGGTGCACCTGATTCAGGCCATGGTCTTTGCAATTATTTACTGTGCATCAGAAAGCTAGACGATGAGTAAGGATGATTGAAGAGGAATTGATGCCTTTGAGTTGTGGTGCTGGAGAACAGCTTTGAACATACCATGAACTGCTAAGAGAACAAACACGTATGTCTTGGAAAGGGCGAAACCAAGCTGCCCTTTGGAGGCAAGAATTTTGAAGCTCTCTCTCATACTTTTGGCATGCTGCCAGGAGAGGAACCAGTCCTTAGAGAAGGACATTATGCTTGGAAGAGTGGAGGGACGGCACAAGAGAGAAAGACCTCAGATGAAACAGTTTGACACAGTAACTGGGGTTATGGGGACAGATGTATTAGAGATTGGAGACTGGATCAGGATAGGGCAGGGTGCAGAACTACTGTGTACAGGGTCGCTATGAGTTGCAGATGACTTGATGGCACCTAATAACATTACAGTTTTAGTTCATTTGAAAGAGTTTTCCCAGTACTCTTAGAATAGCCCATAAAGGAAAGATAATTGAAGGAGGAAAGAGAAAAAAGAAAGAAATGCTGAGGTGGACAAAGAAAATCAGTATATTCAAACTAGTCTAAGTGACAATGAAAGAATTCTGGAGCTCAAAAAGATCTGTATTGAGAAAACTTGAGGCTTGTGGGTGAAGTGACTTGCTCAAAAAAGACATAAGGCAAACTATTGGTAGAGCTAAGATTCTTCAGGTCTTCTGCACCCTATTTTTTGTTTTGCAATGATTGTAATGATGGCGCAGGCGTGGGGAATGTTTCGATCTGATATGCACAGGACTATTAGGAGGCAGAAGTGATTCAACGACATCTAATCACCACTCAATGCCTAGTACTACTCTAAAAGCTCCAGCTATTGTTCTTATTAATCATAGCAACGTTATCATTCTTATTCAGTGGAGTTGATTTTGAGCCACAGTAACCCCAGGTAACAAAGTAGAATTGTTTTCTTGACTTTAATCTTCAGCCTAGGTTTTTAACTGCAAATCAATGGTTCTCAACTATGGATGAACATAAAAACCACCTAGAACTTTCAAATATCTCTTTGTCTAAATGAAATATTCCAGATCAATAAGTTAGAACCTTGGTGCAATAGGATGATGTTGCAACGCATGTACAATAGCTCTGAACCCTGCCCTATCCTGAGCCAGTCTCACTGACCACAACACACCTACTCCCATTATCCCAGTTACTGTTTCAATCCATCTCATCTGGGGTCTTCCTCTCCTGTGCTTCCTCTCCACCCTTTCAAGCATGGTATCCTTCTTCAAGGACTGGTCCCTCAAGGCCACCTGCCCAAAGCATGTGAGACAGAGCTTCAAAATCCTTGACTCCAAAGGGCAGCTTGGTTTCACCCTCTCCAAGACAGATGTTTTTGTTCTCTTGGCAGCATAAGGTATGTTCAAGACTCTTTTCCAGCACCACAACTCAAAGGCATCAATTCCTCTTCAATCATCCTTACTCATCGTCTAGCTTTCTGATGCACAGTAAATAATTGCAAAGACCATGGCCTGAATCAGGTGCACCATAGTCTGTAGACTGACATCATTACTCTTCAGCACTATGGAGACATCCCAGACAGCGGCTTTCCCTAGAGCAATTGTCTTTTGATTTCCTACCTGCTGGTGCCAAGAATGTTGATTGTGAAGCCAAGCAGGATGTAATTGTTAACAACTTCAATCCCTTCTCCATCTTATCACGGTGCTGCCGATTGGCCCAGTGGTGAGAATCTTTGCTTTCTTGATGTCGAGCTTCAATCCATATTGAAGATTGCAATCCTTGACTTTCTGTAGCAAACACTTCAGGTCCTCCTCAGTTCTGGCAAGCAAGGTTGTGTCATCTGCGTAACACAAGTAGTTGATGAGTCTTCCTCCAATCCTGATGACACAACACGTTTTTCCTCAAAGTCCAGCTTTTTGAATGATCTGTTCTGCACACAAATTAAAAAGGTATGGAGACAGGATGCATCCCTGATGCACTTCTCTCCTGATTTGGAACCATGCAGTGTTTCTCTGCTCTGTTCCCACAACTGCTTCCTGGTCCAAGTACAGGTTTTGCATGATTGCAATCAAGTGGTCTGGGATTTTCATTCCTCTCAAGGAGTATGTACGCATTAGGTTTTGGTGTTGTTTTTTTTTTAAGTTTACATTGTGAAGACAAGGTTAAGAACCACTGTCCTCAACTGTGGGACCCCAAAGATAAGCAACGCATGGATTAAGAAGAGTCTGTAAATAGGTTTTATTAGGACCATCCAGTTGAACCTCTTTGGTAAGAACCACAAATTCTAGTCCAAGTTCATCTCTGCAGCCTATGACCATCATTATTACTATCACTGGATTACAGAATATTATAGAACAAAACTACAGTCACTTTTATTTTACTAAAATTCAAGTAGTTTTCCACAAGAGACTTTTGCCTTCCCTAAAGTATTAGAAATGATAAATCTTAAGTCCAGTAATAAGGGTTAATGACTGTAGAACTAGAGAAATAATGAAGCTTGCTTGGGCCCCTAAGCCCCCTCCTCCCTCAACAAATCCACCCTATTTTTTGAAGGAAAGGAAAGGATTTCAGCAGCACTAACCCACCCCTTAAACCAATCTTCATCTGCTCTCCAAGGCGTGATGCCGGTCTCCATTTTCTGATCACATTACTTAAAACCTACTTCATTAAGATGTTAACTCATAAAAACTTACTACAAAAGCTTTAAAAATGTTTATTTGTGTTAATTGGAGTGGAATGGTGCAAGAGTGCAAAGAAATATGTGGGCCCTTGTTTCCCTGCTGTTCACATTAGTTTAGTAAAAGATTGAGTAACATTAGATAGAAAGGAAGAAAGAAATACAAATATATCCAAGGTGGTCAAATCCTTTAATTCACTAAAGGATCAGCTAAAATTATTGGTTTGATTCACATTTATGTGAGAGCCTAAAGAAGCTAAGTTTCCTTGAACTTAGGCCTGAGAAAAAGGGGAATGGAAAACATTTATATTACAAGACAGTAATCTTTTATTCAAACATTTTTTGTGTGCATGTCTAAAATTATGCATGGAGAGACTAATATTCTTCATAAATTAGGATAAATCTAATAATATCACTATTCTCAGCCAGTATTATTTACAAAAATGAACCTCTTCTTTTCTTTATTATCAGGTTCACAGGACTAAATTTTACACCAACCTCAGTCTAGTTTTAAAACTTTCCCTCTCTCATCAAATGCCCAGCAACCCTTATGGGGAGGGGAGCAACCATATTCATCATTCACCAGGAATGTAGAATCACACATGAACAACAACAGCAAAAAAAAAGTAAATCATTCCAAACAATTTCTATCTGCTTTCCAAAAGCATGCTTTGTCTAATTTACCCTTCCTGTACAGACATGTAGGAGAGAGACTCCATAAAGGATAGTAATGCTAATTAAATTAATTTCTTCAAAAAGTGAACAAGATAACGTAGTGTGTATAAGGATGAACTGCTCTGGGTGATCCTAGCAGAAAATGACGTAAACTTAAAACCCAACTTAGTAACATGTATCCCAGCTGACCAGCTCAAAAATATCTTTTTCATTTCATTTGGGTGATATGGGCAGTTTTTGTACTTTCCAGCTGAATACAGTACCACAACCTTTCAAAGCAGATAAAGAAAAAGCTTACTTATTGGAAATTAAAATGAAAATGTTAAATAATAAAAATTGCTGGCTTATAATACAGTGTCTGACAGATTCCAATATGCTTGGATCCAGAAAGTAATTCTATCTTAGTTGCTAGTGAAAGGTAAATCTGGTACACACATAAAGAGACAATATTACTAGACTGTAGTGTCACCTGTCAAAAGAAGAGCATCTAGAATGGAATCTTCAGTATACACTTGGGACAAAGGGCAATCAAAATACAATAGAAAGCAAAATCCACATAAGTTAATTCCTAATTTGAGAAATCAACAGAATGCATACATAAATTGATAAATACTGTCTCCATAGGTCACTAATTCCAAGGACTAGTTAGTAGTTAGTTTCTAACTAAATTATTATAGGACATTCTGGTGTATTCTCTTTGCTTGTGATCAGTTCATTTAGGCAAGACTCCAACAAGTCCTTGCCCTGAGAAACAGCTCGGCAGGAGAAGGCTCTGAGGCATTCACTTCATGTAGAATACAGCCAGATAATAATTCCCAAGATTAAAATAACAAATGACAGGACAAGCACCAGGATACAGATCTTCTTGCGAGATTTTTTCTGAGGAAAGAAATATGTAAAGAAGGTACTCATGAAATATGTAAGATTTATATTTATATATGTATATAAATCTTGGGAGTCTTTGTAATAAAAAATTCATTCTATCCATGCAAGAATATGCAGAGGCTTCCCTAAATCTCTCAGTGTTCATTAATGCATCAGTGAAAGCTGTACTTCCAGGTTACATACCCAGTTTTTCAAATGAGGTATATATACCTAAGCATCTAAGACACTATTTGCAGTAAGTTATTTGTACATTTATGTATCTTTTTTAAGTAAACATTCTATGCCTATTATGAAATTTTATATGCACTGTGAAAATTATAAACCAGAAGAAAGAGGAGGAAATACAATCTCCCACAGATAACACTATTGACATTTTGATTGTATTTCTTTGTTATCTTTCATCTATACATATTGTTGTAGCATGACTGGGACCATACTATATGAAGTTTCATGGTTTAACACGTTGCCGCAAATGACGGCAAATGTGTTTCTAAGCATGGGCGGCAACGTGTTAAATACTTAATGTGCTAGAATAACATTTCTCCTGTTACTATAAACATCTCTCCTAATGCCCAAACAACATAAATTAAATGTTTGTAGTTTAATTATTCCTTTTTGGTTGACCACTAAAATCATGACATGGTTCTTTAAAAAGAACACTATTATTAAATACACATTTCCTTAAGAATATTTCCAGGTAAAAAAAAAAAAAGAATATTTCCAGGTAAAATACAGCTATCCTGGAACACAAGAAATTAATAAAGAGCTATTTCTTTCCAAAAAGTCAAACAATCCAAAACTGAAGGGGAAGAAAAGTCTCATTCACAATATTTTGAGACAAAGACAGACACAAGTAAAAGTCATAAAATTAAAGTTTCAACTAAGATGTGGAATTTCAATTTCTTACCGCAAGAGCTTCAAGATTAATTTCTATTTATTCATAAATAAGGTCCCTAGGTGGCAAAATCTATGCTTGATTGCTCACTCAAAGGCTAGGACTTTGGACCCATCAGTGGTGGTTCTAATTCCAACACTGTGCAGATCTGTGGAGTTGAAAGCTGGGAAGCTGAAGTTATTCTGTAAATAGAGATTTCCCAGAGGATAAGGCAAGTGAATGGGGTTAAGTAATCACAAGAGTCTCATCATCACGTCCACATCTGACAGGATTAAAAAATTGCTAACAAAATGTGTTCAGTAATTTTTTTAAATGGCATTAATTTTCTACAGTTGATCTGTCTTACTGACTGCTCTGAACCCACCCTAGGAGAAAAGCCTGGAAATTTGCTTCCATTAAGAAGATAGCCAAGAAAAACCTATACAGCAGCTCTACTCAATAGTAATGCTCTTTTTTTTTTTTTAGATTAATTTGTTTTCCTTTTGATTCCCAGATAAATAACAGGATGATTTCATGTCCATCTTCTGTGGCCACAGTCAACATGAAGTCCTACTTTAATGGATCTGTGGGATATCGTAATGTGTTAAATATCCCGACAGACAGATTGGGTACTGTACTGTGCCTATGTACACAACAAGCACTTTTTAGCTAAACCACTGCCATGGCTGAGTAAGTTCAGCGTTGTTTTGCTGAATCAGTATTGTGTAAAGCTGAGCATAACTGCACAGGTGCTAAGGTTAGTGATTGCTGTGCACGTGTGGCAGGGTGCCGCCTTGTTCTCAGCACTGTAAGAACTTTGAAGGAAGGTTCCCATGCAGCTGCCTCACCTCCCTGCAGTCTGTATGGACTATAATAAAAGTGACATTTAAGATTCCTTTGGCTCCTCATTCTATTTTTTCTAGTTGGCCACTGAACCGGAGCATAACCTCAGACATAACAGGATCCATAACTGTACTAGGGAGTCTGGAGGGAGTTGTGCTGTTAACCAAATCTATTAGCAGCTGTGTAAGAGAAAAATACGGAATCTTCTCTTGCAATTTACAGCCTCTGAAAACCCAAAAGAGGGTGAGCAATGAGTCAGTACTGACTCAACTTCAAAGAGTTGAGTTGTCTGAGCTGCTGATTACTAGGTTACCGGAAACCATTTTCAGCGGTTTAGGATATATAATTTGCCTTATACAAGATTCAAGTGTCAGCTAGTTTATGGGATTAGCTTAGCTTTGCAGCGGAGTCATTTTGGGCAAGATTATTCAGTTTGATACTTTTTGTGGACCTCTCTGTAAGGGAAAACACTAAAAACAGGAACTGCAATTTTGACTATCTTCCTTCAGCTTAACTCTAAACAAGAGGCTGTAGCCATCTTACGTGTGTCAGTGTGCCCATGATGGCCCATGAAGTCTGCAGTATAGAATGCTTTTCACTGGTATGTGATTTTACCTGATAATAAGCAGCACGCTGTAACTGATCAGTGGCTCTCTCCACATGCACCTCTGAGCTTTCCACATTCGCTTCTATGCTATCTGCCAAAAGAAAAGTGGATGTTTTACTACACTGAGATGTTTGACAAGTGGAAATTTATTAGGCATCTGATGTTATTATGCATCCTGGTTTCAAAAGTACCATTCCAACTGTGTAGTCTGGAAAGAAAAAGTTATTAATCCCATGAGATAATAGCTCGATTCTTTGAATACAAACACTGAAGTATTTCAGGGTAAAGGGCTGATGGCTCTGCAACACACAAACGGTTCAGAAAAAAAAAGTACATATACGAATATATGCAGAAAGAAAAGGGGGAGCAAATAAACAAATGGAGCAGAATGGTTGTTTTGGGGTTTTTTTTTGTTATGTGGAGAATGGTTTTTAAGAGTTTTAAAGCAGAGCAGTGATTCTGGGTATAGTGCATAAAGGAATTTCTTGTAATATTTTTATTGTTGGAGCATTTTGTAAACAAAATTATTTCCAAATATAAACTTTATTTCCTTAAAGTTACCAGTTCCAAAATAATATGAGTTTCTGGAGCTGAAAGCTATTTCCTTAATGACAGAGATTTATCAGAGGTATTAAGAGAGCTCCTAAGTATGGAGCTGAGCTGCCAACACAAAAGCATGAGGTTCTAATAAACCAGTTGCTCTGTGGAGAAAGAGGGATACTTTCCTCCCTTGGGCTTTGCTGTTGTTGCTATAATCATCTGAGTGTACTACCAGCTGTATACTCTGAGTACACTATTACTACCAACTACTAGCTGCCATTCATCTGGGTTATCAGAGGCAGAAAATCACATGAGAGGAGACTGCAAATCTTTCTCCCATGGAGCATTTGGTGGATTCTGAAAATCCACTAGAGGGCTGGCTGTGAGTTGGTTCCAATTTGACAGCAGTGAGAATGATGGCAAGTGAATGGGGCCAAATACTTGAAGTCTCATCATTACTTCAATATTTGACCCCATAAAAAATGAGTTATGGACTTTTTAAACATGGCATTCCTTAGTGGCAATAAGCTACACTGCAATCTCAGAGGTACACAGTTCAAATCCACCAGATGCTCTACTGGAGAAGGAGGAACAATCTCCTGTATCAGTCAGATCTGATTTGACGGTAAACACAAAAAATAACGAAATAAAATAAATTTTTTTTTAAAAAAGGCATTCCTTGTTTATTGCAATAGCAAAGAGCTGGAGACAACCCAAGTGCCCATCAACAAATGAATGGATAGAGAAGCTCAGATATAGTCACATAGTGGAATACTATGCAGCACTGAAAAACAAGGAACTCATGAAATACTATGGCAAGTGGATGACCCTAGAGGACATTATGCTGAGTGAAATATCTCAGTCACAAAAGGACAAATATTGCATAGGGCCACTATTGTAAAATAGGACTGTCACTGGGGTTGAGGGAAGACAGAGAAGAAGGGGAGGAATGATGTATACTGCATTGCAACAGATGAGGGAGAGAACTGTTTAAAAGGGATATATGATTAGGTATTATTGTCATGACAGGAGTTCAGAATGAAGGCTACACAGTGCAGTGGACTTGGAGGGATAGCATAGCTGTGAAACACTTTTTCTTTTACTCATCAAGGAGAAAAGTGAATTGGAAGGGACGGAGTAGGCAGGGAGAAAAGTGCAACAATGAATGAATGACTGGAAATCCTAAGTCTCTGTAAACTTTACTAAAATTAATAAAAAAAAATGGCATTCCTAAACTGTCTACAGCTGATAAATCTTATTGATTGCTTTGCAGACAATCAACTCACCTTGAGGTTAAAAGTATCAATAATACATACCAATTAGATCACCTTGGTCATGGATCATCATAGCTAAATCTTTAAATATCTGGTTGACATCCAAAATGTCAGCCTGAAAAACAAGAACAAAGCATAAATAACATTAAGCAACAGATTAGAAGATTTATTTCCTCTACTTACCTAGAAATTTCGTTATTTACATTAACAAATGTACCAACTATGTGCCACTCTGTCAAACTGACTGTTGCTGTTGTGTGCCACTGAGCCAGAACCGACCTATAGCTCACCTGCCAGCAAATTTTCTGAGACAGTAAATCACATGGGAGGAGACTGTCCATCCTTGTCTCCTGCGGCATCTGGTGGATTAAAACTACATGCCTTTGGAACTGCAGTGCAACTTCTCACCTCCAGCCCACTAGAGCTCTTGACAGACTGAAGTGGTTTCTAAGTTGCTTTTATGCTGAAAGCTATGTCACTAGTATTTTATATACTACCAGGGTCACTCATAGCAAACAGGTTTCAGTAGAGCTTCCAAACTAAGACAGAAAGAAGGGCCCACTGATTTCTTTCTTTTAAAATAAACAAAGATTGAAGAAGAGTTCATCTTCACAATCAACATAAATGATATGGTTGGAGTAAAGCTTTTGGCACTCTCATTTCCTGATGTGGCACCACTCAAAATGAAAAGAAATGTTCACAAATATCCATTAACATTGGAATAAGAATGTACAAAGTATAAATCTAGGAAAACAAGAAGTTGTAAAAAAATTAAATAGAGCACATAAAAACTGATATCCTAAGCATTAATGAGTTGAAACAGACTGGTATTGGGCATTTTCTATTGTACAATCATTTGGTCTACTATTCTAGAAACAGCAAACTGCAGAAGAATTACTTCATGGTCATCAAAAGGAATGCAGCAAAATGTATCCTGACAACATGGTTAATGACAGAAAACCCATCTGCCAACAAGACCAGTTAATATGATTATTCTTCAAATTTATGTACCAACCACTAGGATGTGCAAAAGATAACAAAAATAAAGCTTTTACCAAGTCTGAAGTCTAAAATGGATCAAACATTCAATCAAGATGTACTGGTAATTACTAGTGATTGAAATGAGACACGTGAAACAAAAAAGAACTTTCAAAAAAAGTTGGAAAATATGGCCTTAGTCACAGAAAAGAAAGAGCGCATGATAGACTTTTGTAATTAAGTGCTGTCGAGTCGTAAATGACTCATAGTGACCTTGTATAACTTTCACTGTTTCTCCAAGTTCACAGAGTTTCTGGAGGCAAGCGATTTCGGAAGTAGACACCACTCTTGCTTCCAAGCTTGTTTTACTCGGGAAGCTCTTCCAAACGCGTCCACCATGAGTAACCATTATCACATTTGACACATCAGTGTCATGGTGATTAGAATCACAACAACCACAAATTACCTCTGTACAGAAAAAAAAAAAAACATGACCACCTTTTCTAAAAAAGACTTAAATAGCAATTATACATATATCCACAATCAACACCTATGGGTAACAGCATTCAAGAAATCAAAAGATATGCTGCATCAGGAAAAGCTGCTGTCAAGGACATATCCAAAGTGTAAATGAGCCAGGATGTCAGTTCAAAAACTAGGTGTGCCTGATTCTTGTACCTGCCTATTTTCAATTACTTCCTAAGCATTTGAAAGATGGACAATGACTAAGGATGACAGAATTGGGATGCTAGATAAGAGTATGGAATATCCCATGGACTGCCAAAAGGACAATCAAATCTGTCTTGAAGAAAGTGCAACCAGGGTGCTCCTTAGAGGCAAGGGCGGTGAGACTTTAACTCACATACTTTGGGCATGTTGTCAGCCGGCACCAGTCCTTGGAAAAAGAAATCATGCTATAAAGGTCAGATAAAGCAAGACCCTCAACACAATGGACTGACACAGTGACTGTAACAGTGGGCTGGAGCATATCAGAGATGGTGAGGATGGCACAGGATAGGGCAAGGTTCATATCTGGTATTGTTAAGTTCTCTGTGAGTTGTAATCCAAGAATTGATAGAATACCAGTTATTTCAACAAACAGATGCTGCCCTGGATGTGCTCCCCAGGTTGTGCCAAGAAATTTGGGGGACAACTACTGACCAGTTGACTGGAAGAGATCCATACTTATCCCCATTCAAAAAAAAAAGGAACCTGATAGAGTGTAGAAACTATCAAACAGTATCATTAATACAACATGCAAGCAAAATTCTGCTGAAAATTACCAAAAAATGACTGGGATAGTACATCGACAGAGAACTACCAGAAACACAAGCTGGGTTTAGAAGAGCTTCTGGCACTAGAGACATTATCACCACTGTAAGAAGGATCATGACAGAAAGCAAAGAGGATCAGAGGAACATCTATCTGTATTTCATTGACTATGCAAAGGCATTTGACTGTTTGGATCACAACAAATTGTGGCTAACCTTGAAGAGAATGGGAATCCCAGAACACTTGATTGTGCTTATGTGAAACTTATACTTGGATCACAAAGCAGTCTTCAGAACAGAGAAAGGAAATAGCACATGGTTCAAAATTAGAAAAGGGATGCATCCTGACTCCCTACTTTTTTCAATCTATATGCAGAACAGATAATTTGGGAGGCTGGGCTTTATGAAGAGGAAAGTGGCATCAGGATTGGAGGAAGAGTCATCAACAACCTATGTTATTCAGATGACACAACCTTGCCTGCTGAAGCTGAGGAGGACCCAAGGCGCTTGTTGCAGAAGGTCAAAGACTGTAGCCTTCAATATGAATTGAAGCTCAAACATCAAGAAGACAAAAATTTTCACCACTGGGCCAATTGGCAGAACCATGATAGATGGAAAAGAGATTGTGGTTGTTAACAGTTAGAGCTTGTTCAGCTCCACAATCAACAGTCTTGGCACCAGTAGTCAGGAAATCAAAAGACGAATTGCATTGGGAAAATCTGTCAGGGGCCTAGCCAGAGTACTGAGAAGCAACGATGTCAGTCTAGAAACTAAGGTGCGCCTGATCTAGGCCATGGTCTTTGCAGTTACTTGCTATGCATCAGAGAACTGGGCAATAACTAAGGATGATCAAAGAAGAATTGATGTCTTTGAGTTGTGATGCTGGAGAAGAGTCTTGAACATACCATGGACTGCCAAGAAAACAAATAGATTTGTCTTGGAGAGGGTAAAACCAAGTTTTTCCTAGGAGGCTAGGATTTTGAAGCTCCATCTCACATACTTTGGGCATGTGGCCAGGAGAGAGCAGTCCTTAGAGAAGAACATCATACCTGAAAGAGTGGAAGGGCAGCACAGGAGAAGACCTCGATGAGATGGACTGACAAAGTATCTGGGGCAATGGGGTAGGTATATCAGAGTCAATGAGACTGGCTCAGGACAGAGCAGGCTTCAGAGCTGTTGTACAGAGGGTCACTTTAAGTCACAGGTGACTCGATAGCACATAACAACAACAACATGAGTTGTAACCAACTGGATGACATCGAACAACAACAATTACATATGGAACTCATATGCAATAAACAGCAATCAAACTAAACCTGTTTAAAGAGAAGACGGTTAAGTTTAACATCATCAGACAGAAAAGACCAGGGAGTGAACATGGGACAAACTACCAACCGCTTATATGCAAGTTCAAGCTGTTGCTGAAGAAAATGAAAATATGTTCACAAGCATTAAAATATGACCTTGATTACATCTCATTTAAGGTCAGAGACCAGCTCGAGACTACAGTCTCAGGGGACATATAGGTTATATGGCATAACATAATCCAAAAAGATAATGTTCTTCTACATTCTACTTTGGTGAATTTTGACTCTGTAAAAGCTTTCAAGGGACTAAGATAGAACTATTGATCTCTTCCCATCTAAAGCAAAGAAGAGTAAAGATCAATGACTCAAGGAAACAATTAGTCCAAAGGACTGGCAGATCATATAAACTATACCTGACACTCGCTTGAGAACAAAAGAACTAGATGCTGCCTGGCCACCATTAGCCATCACTCCAACCAGGCTCAGAACGGAAGGTCCTGGACAGAGCAGGAAAACAACTGTAGAATAAAATTCAAAATCATATGAAAGACCAGGCTTACTGGTCTGATAGAGTGTAGTGGAAATGCTCGACTGTGGCCTTAGACACTCCTCAAAATTAGAAGTAAATCTATTCCTGGGGTCACCTTTCCACCAAACAGTAGATAAGACTAGAAAGAGAGTAGTAACATCTGTAAGGAACATGATTCACAGACTAATAAACCACAGAAGAATAAAAGGGCAGCATCTGCCCAAAAACAAAGTTCAGAAGGTAAAAGAGAGAAAAGATGAGTGACTAGGAACAGCAAACTCAGGAATAATGAAGAGTGCTGTTAAATTGCCAGGCTAGCAATGAAGTCATCAAAAAAGTTTGCATAAATTGCAGAATGGTGTACATGAATAAAACACAAAGGGGAAAAAATCATGAAATAGGAAACTAATGTGCCTTGTAAACTTTTATTCAAATCACAGTACAACTGTTTTCTTAAACAAAGAAATAATGGTGTTAAAGGAAGAAGGCTGAACCTTCCTTGGCCAAAACCAAAAGCTCCAGAAATTGATAGATTCCAACTGAGATGTTTCAACAAACAAACATTACATTCATTAATTAGTCTGTCAAGAAATTTAGAAGAGAGCTCAATGGACAACCAATTGGAATAGACTCGTGTTTGTGCCCATTCTAAAATAATATCTTCAGTATCACATTCAAGAAAAATTTCGCTAAAGATCATTCATATGTATCCTGTCTACTGTCCTCTATTCTACCAGGTGAGCTATCCAAGGCTGCACTGAATATAAATAAAAAAATGACTGCAGCAGCACACTGTCAGGGAACTACAGATTCAAAAGAGGACACTATCATTGCTAATCTCCTATGACTCTTGGCTGAAAGCAAAGAATACTAAAAATACGTTTGTTGTTCTTGTTGTTATATGCTATTGAGTCGACTATGACTCATAGAGACCCTAAGTAAAAGAACTCTGAACCCTGCCCTATCTTGAGCCAATTTCATTGTCTCCACACCTACCCCGTTTACCACAGTCACTGAGTCAATCCATCTCATCCGGGGTCTTCCTCTCTTGCATTGTTCCTCCACCCTTCCAAGCATGATGTCCCTCCCCAAGGATTGTCCCTCAACATGCCCAAAGTATGTGAGGATGAAGCTTCAAAGTCCTTGACTCCAAGGAGCAGCCTGGTTTCACTCTCTTGAGAATGGCCTGTTCTCCTAGCAGTCCATGGTATGTTCAACACTCTTCTCCAGCACCACAACTTAAAGGTATAGATTCTTCTTCTATCATACTTATTTAGTCATTTTCCAGCGCTCTGATGCATAGCAAGTAACTGAAAAGACCATGGCCTGGATAAAGTACCCTTTAGTCTCTAGACTGATGTTGTTGCTCTTCAATACTCTGGAGAGGTTCCTGACAACAGCAGACTTACCCAATGCAATTTGTCTTCTGATTTCCTGGATGCTGGTACCAACAGTGCTGACTGTGGAGCCAAGCAAGCTGAAGCTGTTAACAATTTCAGTATTTTCTCCATCTATCATGCTGTTGCCAAAGGGCCCAGTGGTGGGAATCTTTGTTTTCTTGATGTTGAGCATCAATCAATATTGAAGGCTGCATTCCTTGACATTCCGCAGAAAATACCTCAGATCCTCCTCAGTTTCGGCAAAGAAGGTTCTATCATCCGCATAACACAGGTTGTTGATGAGTCTTCTTCCAATCCCAATGCCACGTTCCTTTTCATAAAGCCCAGCCTCTCAGATGATCTGTTCTGTTAGATGCCACTGTTCTTGTTAGGTGACATCAAGTCAACTACTACAATAGGTTTCAGCAGGACAGATACCATGAGGACGGTATAGAATAGGGCAAGGTTCAGATTTGTTGTTCACAGTATTGCTACGAGTCATCATCAACTCAAGGGCACCTAAGAACAACAACTTGCTAAGAGGCTACGATAGTTGGAACAATTTACTAGTTGCTAGAGAAACAAAAGAGCTCAACACATAACTGGGCAGAGAGAGAATTAGTACATACAGGAGAAATAATGCAACAGGATCTTATGTGAGAAACGACTAAAGAACAGTACAGCAAGGACTGCCAAGGAGAAAGATTTTGCCAAAGAGGTACGACTTGAAATTGTGTCTTGAAACAAAGAAAAAGCCCTATAAACTTATAAAGATAAATGACTTTAAGAGAAAAGAGCCCAGCTTCGCTATAGTACGGAATGTGTATGTTAAAGGTTAAGATTGGATATAAATATCAAGTTTAGGCTACAAAATCTGGACTTCATTCTGTTGAATATGAAGTAATCCATGGCTGACATCTATCCTTTACTTTGTTCCATATGTCTCACTCTTGTTGTGTGCCATCAAGCCAGTTATACCTCATGGGCAGCTGTAAAATAGGGGAGAACTGCACAATGTTTCCTAGACTATACTGTTTACATGATCAGCATCACCAGGCCTTTTGGGTTTGAACTGCTGAGCCTTTGGTTAGCCGCTGAGCTCTTACCTATTGTGCTATTAGTGATCCTTTATCTTTACTCCCTGCTTTAACACTATTTCTAACATAAGAGAACCAAGATGATATATGTAAAAAAGAAAAAAGTAGTACTGGTGGTGCTGGTGTGTGTCATCAAGTCGGGACCAACTCACACCTGACCCTCCAGAGGTTTTTCAGAGGCTGTAAATTGTACAAGAGGTTACTGCCTTTCTCCTGAGGAGCCACTAGTGGATTTGAACTATGTGCTTTAGGATTGGCAGTGCAACTTTCTACCACTACGTGAGCAGAACTCTTTAAAGTGGTACTGTTGTTGTCACTGTGTATCAAGTCAGAACCAACTCATAGCTGATCCTCCAGCAGGATTTCAGGGGCAGTAAGTTGCCCATCTTTCTCCTGTGGAGTAGCTGGTGAATTAAAACTGCATGTGTTTGGGCTGGCAACACAACTCCTTACTACTAAGCTACCAACACTCCCTGAAGTACTGTTGTTATGTACTGTCAAGTTGAAAATGACCTGTAGCTGACCCTCCAGCAGGTTTTCAGAGGCGGTTAATCACACAGAAGATTGCCCATCCTTCTCCCATAGAGCAGCTGATAGATCTGAACAACGAGACTCTGGGTTGGCAGCACAACTCTTTAACATTAAGTCACCAGAGTTCCCTAAAGTAGTATTATAAAAGAATTATAACTTAAGCATGAATTGTATCATCTAAAAACAGCTACTGACGACTTCTAGGGCAGTGGGTCTTAACTCTGGCTGGACATTATAATCATTTGAGAAGCTTTTTTAAAAGGTTTCCATGTCCAGGGCCTCATACTAGGTTGAACCATATAAAATTGTGGATAATTTTTAACCTGGGGAGGAAGGAATTTCATAGTTTAATATAAGCTAGTGGTGGGAAGTGAAAGCTGAGCATTTTTAAAAAACATTTTTAAAAAAACCAAGTGATTCTAATATGCAGCAAGGGTTTGGAATCACTTCTATGAAGAAAGGTTGAGGGAGAACTCAAGAGTGTCTTCTCTCTGCTCCGCTTCCCTAGAGATGGCAACATTCCACTACTGTGGAGGAAAAAAACGACACAGGTTTAAAGATGTTTCCTGGGCAGTGGGCAACATTAGAGAAATGACTAGCATGCTCTACCCCACTCCTGCCTCAATAACTTACTATTTCTGACTACTGGAAGTGATAAAATACACAGCTTGGGCTGACTCTGATGCAAAAAAATGAGGAAAACTTTTTGGCCCATTTTTCCTCTGGACTACTCAGACCAAGCAAAGGAGCTCTCTGTAGAGTACTGTTTAATCTTGTTTGGGGACAAAGGTGAGGTATCAATAAAATATTATTATCTTTGCTCTGCAAGCACTTTTCCAATAAAGCCCATATGAGCTTTGGTAATTGGGGAAGGATCTGGGTATTCTGTGTAATGAACACTCCCATCACCATAGTGGTTCAAATTCGCAATGATTATACTGGCATAGATAATAAGCAAATCACACAATAACGTGCTTTTCTATAAACACCAAGTATATTCAGGTAGACAAAAGAGCATCCGATGTGTTGCAAATGCACTAAAGCAAGTAAAAACCAAGTCCTGGCTCTAACCTCCAGCTGCCGAATTGCTGTTTCTCTCTCTTTGATAAGTTCCAGATCTTGCTCAGTGATGGCTACTTCATCCTCCTGGCTTTGCATCTGGTTCCAGTCTTCATGGCTGTAGGCAGACAGGCACAACAGTTGATTCTTACTCTCCCATAAGCAGAAAACATGTGTACAACATCTCTATTGCCAGCTGAAACAGCCAAATACAGTTAAAAAAACTTTAACTCCTGTAACATCAACACACAGTCCCTGAGGGTTCATGTTCTTCAAATCTAGAGACAAAGAGCTGATAACACAGAAGACAAAGCCTCTGCTTCAATTGCAATCCCAGAGGTGCACGGTTCAAATCCACCAGATGCTCTGCTGAAGAAGGAGGAACAATCGCCTCCTGTACCAGTCAGATCCAATTTGACGGTACACACATTAAAAAAAAAAAAAAAAGCCTCTGCTTCTACAAACAAAACTCACATGAAGCCAGATTAAGGAGGATGATGTTTCCACTTATGGTGGTTGTTATGTGTCGTCAAGATGACGACTCATAGCGATCCTGTTAACAGATCTGAATCTGCCCTCTTCTGCGCCATTCTCATGATTTCCAGTATATTTGAGCTCCCTGCTACAATCACTATGTCAAACTACTTCGTTAAGGGTCTTCCTCTCTTTCTCTACCCCTCTATCTTTCCTAGCATGATATCTTTTTCCAAGGACTAGCCCCTCCTGCCAACATGATCAAAGTATTTCAGATAATGTTTGTCTCCTTGTGTGTAAGGAGAACCCTGGGTGCACTTCCTCCAAGACAGACTTGTTTGTTCTTTTGGCAGTCCATGGGATGTTCAGTATTCTTAGTCAACACTAATTCAAAGGCATCAACTGCTGTTCAGTCATCATTTATGGAACACTCTGCAATATTGCTAGGGCTTGCTAGAGTAAAAAAGTAAGCTAGAAATTTAAAGTGAATGAAGTCTTGCCACTTTTAAGGTCCTCTCAAAGTACAAATATGTTGGTATCTTGAGTACCAAATGGGTGAAGGAAACCAAACTCAATGATATGTCAGTGCTTTGCTTAATATTCTAGATCACATCTTCCAGTTTTCAGGAATTTTTTTGTAAAGTTATGTTTTGAGTTAAATTACTCATGACAACAACAAGTAAAAAGTTAAATGACTACATTTAGAAAAAAATCATACACATATCATACTAGACATAAAACATTTTTCAAAATCTAATATGTATTAAGTCGTACTTATTTCTACAGTACTAACAAAATGTCCTCCATGTATTAAAGATTTAAAACTGACTAGGAGAGAGCATCTGATGCCTTTGAAATATGCAGTGATTGTTGAAAGTGGAGGGTAGAGACATATCTATGACAAAATATTTTCCGATCAGAACTATTACATGTTGTTGTTGTTATGTGTCATTGAGTTGACTTATGACTCATAGTGACCCTACAAACAATAGCTCTGAACCTTGCCCCATCCTGAGCCAACTTCACTGACATTTCCCCTCTTGCCAGAATCACTGTGCCAATTCATTTTAGCTATAGTCTTCCTCTCCTGTGCTATCCCTCCAGCCTTCCATACATTTTCTTCTCCAAGGATTGGTCCCTCCTGGCAACACATCCAAAGTATGTGAGACAGAGCTCCCTCAACTATATTTCTATGTTGTTGTGTGCCATCAAGTTGGCACCAACCCATAGCTGACCCTCTAGCAGGTTTTCAGAGGCAGTAAATCAGAACTCTGGTGGCCTAGTGGTAAAAAGCGGTGCTGCAATCCCAAAGGCATGTGGTTCACATCCACTAGCTGCTCCATAGGAGAAAAACGGCCAATCACCTCCCGTTCAATTTACTGCCTCTGAAAACCCACTGGAGGGTTAACTGAGTTGGTCCTGACTTGTTAATACACACCAACAACAACAGTTCTATAGGATTAATTAATCCCATTTGAAGAAGAAAGGTTATCTTTCAGATACAATTTTTTTTTCTTTTCCTCTTAATACTTTTAGACTGATAAGCTGACTCCACTTCAGAAATGAATGAACAGAGGCCCAAGAACTTTGAAGAACTGATGTTTGAATTAGAGGTAAAATGATTAGATGTCCTAACCTGTCCACTGATTTTTTTATTTAATCCTAGTAAATTTTTACTTAATTGAAAAGCAAGGATTGTCAGTTTAAAGACCAAGGTGTGCCTGATCCAAGCCAGAGTCATTTCAATTTCTTCCCATGTATCTGAAAGTTGGACAATGAATAAAAATGACAGAAGAAAAATCAATGCCTTTGATTTGGTCTTGTAGAAGACTACTGAATATCCCACAGACTGTCAAAAGAACAAACAAGTTTGTTTTAGGGAAAGTGCAACCACGTGCCCCTTAAAGGCATGGATGGTGAAACTTACACACTTTTGACATGCAGTCAGGAAGAACCAGTCCTTGGACATGCTGGGAAAGGTGAAGGGCCAATGAGAGGAAGACCCTCAACAAGATAGATTCACACATGACTATACCAGTGGGCTCCAGTATATCTGAGATCATAAGGATGGGGCAGGATATGGTAAGGTTCAGACCTGTTGTTCACAGGGTCAAAAGTCAACCTGATGGTACCTAATAACAATAAGCCAAGTTCTTTCTCTAACAAATAAATGGGCATTATAGGCATCTCAAAATTACTCTTTACATAGCTGATTTAAAAAAATTATAAAAATATAAAATGCCATTATTAATTATCCATCAAGTTGTAAGAGTCATTCCTTTACCTGTCAAAGGAGACGAGCTGCTCCTCTCTTTGCCTTTCCTCTGCCTAGAAAACAGATGGTATTATTGCTGTATCCAGAAACAAGTGATAGACAAACATAAAAAACAAAGGTTTGCCCTTAGCTATTGTAAAGAGAAACAACTTATCTTTGCTGACAGGTCTGTAAAATTATACAGGGCTCTGGGAATCTGTCTTACTAAAAAAGGGATCTGAAGGGGCTGAAGGAACAGCTACATTTTTGTTTGGGCTAAGAACTAAAAGAGAAACCACACTGAACAAGATGGAGAGAACACAGCTAGGAGACAGGGTTAATAATAATCTGACAAGAGTCCAGAATAAGAGTTGCCCAATAAAGTGGACTGGGGTGGGAATAGGGGAGGAAACTGTGCAACAATGAACAAATTTTTTAAAGAGAAAAGCGAACTGGGGCGGGGGCTGGAGGGGGAAGAAGGAAAATGTGCAGCAATGAATGAATGGAAATCCAAATTTTCTGTAAACTTTTGTTAAAATCACAATAAAAAATTATTTTTCAAAAAAATCTATTAAAAAATTTGTGAGGAAGTTGGTGGGTGAAGGGAGGTGGGGAAGTACATGAGAAGAATCCAGGCAAAAAGACAGGGTAGTGATGGGCAAGGTCCAGTGGTGATTAGTTATATAAAATATAATAGATGAGAATGACTGTATGAAACACAATGTGAATGAAGAATAGCGTGAAACACCATGTATACAAACTATAAGCAAAACAATGGGGGAAAAAAAGTAACCCATTGTTACCAAGGCTGTAAATCTTAAAAAGAAATAAATTAATTTGTAAGAAAGGAGATTATGAGAAAATGGCTAAAAATTTACAAAGAAACAAATTTTTAAATAATGAGATGCATCCTTATATGATTTTGTCTACTTTTATGCTTTTTATAAATGTGATCATGTTTATTTCATTTTGTGCTTTGTTATAACACTCCAAATTATGCCTAATTCATTCTTCATGCTGAATTATAACTGTGGTTGGTTAATTTTCTTTGCTGTACAATATTAAAGTGTATTAATATCCTACAATGTCTTTATTCTATTTTTAATAGATATTTGTAAAAGACAATTGTTTATTATGAACGCTGCTGTTAAGAGCACTGTATACATTATCTCCCAGAAAAATCTATTTCCAAGTTTCACTAGGGTAATGTTGCTGGATTATAAGGTCTTCAGGTGTTCTAAAGACACTACCAAAATGTACTGGCAGTTTATACTACCAACAACCAGACAGAAGAGTTTGTGTTGCATCCTATCAACAACTGCCTAAATGTTCACAATTGTAAATTTTACTGATATGCCTCATTATCTTAATTTCCAATTTCAAAACTCCAGAGAAGTTGAGGACTTCTTCATTTGTTTGACTATTTTTGAAAATGTTTGTTTTTTCCTGAGTTTTGCATTTGTAATGCAAAAGCAATAGTGCCTTAGTATGAATCAAGGCAAATGCACTAGTTATCATTGTATTTCTCACTGCCACATATTCACAGCAAAAACAAAACTAAAGGCAGTATGTTCTGGATGAAGCCATAAAAATTATTAATTAAACTTTATTTTCGCAACACATGTCTTAACATTTTAGATGATGAAATGGGAAGAACAGACAAAGCACTTCTGCCACACAAAAAAACCCTTTAGTGTAACTGAACCGTAAGCTAAATTAGCCACCTCTTTTTAATTTTAAGGACCCCACTTTCATTTACAAGAATGATAACAGTGTTCATTTCCAGTAATAAAAATATAATTTTCAAGTAAATTTAGAATTATGCAAACTGGTCTCTACCGTTGTAAGCTCGATAGGTTAACAATATTTAAAGACTTTTCTTATTAAAGTGATGGTGATACCAACAAGTGTAATTTTAAAAAATAAAATTGTGCAATAAAATATATCAACATTTGGATAAGCAAATATTTTTCAGTGAATCTATACCTTCAAAATGATAAGATTATAAATACATTTTAAAAAGTCATATATATGTAAAAAAGTCAATCAAAGTACAAGATTTTCTTGTTACTGTAGTAGTATCACCACCTTTCAAATAAGACAGATGAATGGATTTTAATATAAGAGAATCATTAATATGGATTGTGATTGTACGATGCCACTTAACTTTGGTCATATTCGTATAGAATCAAAGAACATGGGCAATAATTTGGAAAGATTATGAAAATACTCTCCTTGTCTAACTACACATGTCTGTTGGGATGGATTTTTACCAGATACTTCAACCAAAATAACATCCCATAATACACTGAAGCAGATATAAAAATCTAGCTAACTTCTATTAACCCAAATGTATTAAAATGAGTTACAAAAGTATACATCAATGCCACTCTTCCCAGTATTTAATGAAAAGGGAGTTGTTTCCTATTTAAAATTTTATTTCTATTTATATTAATACATCATGAATGTATTGTTGATATTTTTAAATTACTAAGCATTAACAATTTCCCAGTTTTACCTTCTAATACAATAAATATTGATAGATAGAAAAAAGATAATCTATATTAACAAAAGCTTGTTACGGGTTTTTAGTTCTTTTTAAAGGTCAATGGCAGCCTGAGCTAGTTTCAGAACTCTAGTCTAATGAGTTGTGTCTTTTCATATTGAAAAAATTATTTTTCCATGAAAAATTTCATGGAAATTTTTTACACATTCTGGGTATTTATTCTCCCACCCCTGCTATCAACTCAAAGCAACCCTTCACCATGTTTCCCTGGGTGTTAATTTTACAAGCAGAGAGCCCATCTTTGTCCTGAGAACCAGGCAATGGACTCAAACTACTGGGGATCTGTGGTCTCTTAGCAGTGCAACATACTACAGTGATCTTTGGGTTAGCAGCACAACTCTCCACAGAATAGACCACCACTCCCTGTAGTAAAGATCTCTCTCCCTCAATGCTGTACAGTCAGAGCCAGTTCATAATTGACCCTACGCTGGGTTTCTGAAGCTCTAACCGGAATGAGTGGAGACTGCCCATCTTCCTCCCTTGGAACCACTGGTGGGTTTGAACTATCAGAGAAGTAGAGGAGGCCTTTGAGTTAGCAGTACAACAACTTATAGACCACCAGAGCTTCAAAATTTTATAATTTTCAATGCTAATTAAACTTGTTTATGGGCAAGAGGTGTCTTACCTTGACATATTCATACTCCAAGAATACAGTCTTTATGGATCTAGTCTTTTAAGAACCAGTTTGAGGAGCACCATCTTTTCTATTCTCCACTTTGCATGAACACTGGGCTTCAATTGTTGCCCGCATATACCATAGGACATTAAAGCTAAAATTCAACTTTACCTTCAGTAAATTACTTTGTGCAAAAAACAATTTCTGTGTTATGCTCACCTCTCTGGGCTCTTACCTTTTCCTAGGTTTTGGCCTTATTGTTTTCATAGTTCTTAGATACTTTTGACAACCTGGGTTTTTAAAATCCAATATTTAATAATTATTTTCAAACAGAGGGCTGATCGGAATAACCTAGCCAGCAATATTCTAGCAAACAGATTTACTCATTTTTTTCTCTTCTTTTTATTATTTTTCTAGGTTTATTAATTTTTAAAGTTTTTCACATAAGACTAAAATAACAATGGAAAAGAAAATTAAATATAATTCTACTGGTCAGAGTTTTTAACCTTTGTGTGTATTTGTATTTGTGTGTATTTCTTTCTAGTCTTTGATCATATGCATACGTATTTTTCTGTAGTTTATATCAGTCTGTCGATTTCATAGCAGCTGATGTGGATGTTTATTAATTGGGTGGATAATTAACAATGACTAACTGATCAAAAGAAGATTCTCACCACTGGGCCAACTGGCAGCATCATGATAGATTGAGAAGAGATTAAGGTTGTTAACAATTTCAGCTAGCTCAGCTCCACAGTCAACACTCTCAGCACCAGCAGTTAGGAAATCAAATGATGAATTGCTCTGGGAAAATCTGCTGTCAGGGACCTCTCCAGAGTACTGAGAAGCAACAATGTCAACCTACAGACTAAGGTGCACCTGATTCAGGCCCTGATCTTCAGTTACTTGCTACGTATTTGAGAGCTGGACAATGACTAAACATAACAGAAGAATTGATGCCTTTGAGTTGTAGTACTGGAGAAGACTATTAAACATACATACCATGGGCTGCCAAGAGAACAAACAGGTCTGTCCTGGAGAGGGTGAAACCAAGCTGCTACTAGGAGGCAAGGATTTTGAGACTCCATCTCACATACTTTGGGCATGTAGCCAGGAGGGACTAGTCTTTGGAGAAGGACATGATACTTGGAAGGGTCAAAGGATAGTACAGGAGAGGAAAACCCCGGATAAGATGAATTTACACAATAACTGGAGTAATGCGGGTAGGTGTGTTAAAGACAGTGAGATTGACTTAGGAAAGAGCAGGGTTCAGAGCCATTGTTCATAGGGTCACTGTGAGTCGTTAACTGATTTGATGGCATATTAACATTGGTCAAAGGAGCTCTGGTGGTCTAGTGGTAAAGAATTGTGCTGCCAATGCAAAGGCCAGGAGTTCAACCACACCAGCTGCTCCATAGAAAGCTGGGCAATCTCCTCCCGTGCAATTTACTGTCACCTCTGAAAATCCACTGGAGGGTCAGGTATGGGTCAGTTCCAACTCAGTGGTATACAACAACAACTGGTCAAAAAGAAAACTCCTGGAAAAGAGAACTATGAATGTACATGAACGAAACACAATATAAGCAAATTATTGTATGTAAACCAATAAAAAATTTTTAAAAAGAAAAAGAACTGTGACATTTTCAGGAGGGACAGACGGGAGGATAAACTTACCGACAGGCGAGATCCAGCTCTCGCTCTGGCAATACTCTCCTTTTCTTTTTCTGATACTCGTCTTTGCACAGCCTGGAAATTGTTTAAGGCTGCAGAGAAGTCATTCATAAGGCGCTCCTTCTGAAGTTTCTGCTGGCGCTGAAGAAATGAAAGAAGACTTAAGATTTCCTATTAATCCAGAATCTCTGATTTATAATTCCCATAAAATACCAAATGCTGTTACCTAAGGAGTTCCAATGAGAAAAATTACTGTGAAATATATTCTTCCTTAAGTTAATAAATTTGCACTTAGCTAACTCAAATCCCTGGTTAATATTCGAGACAAACTAGTATTTTCCTTCTTTCATGCTGACAAACTAGAAAAGTGGTATCATTTACCATGAATGTAATTCAAAACTTTGGTTATCTATTGGTTCTAATAGTAATATAAATACTTTGAGATCCAGGTTGAAGCAAGACAGAGATGGGTTTCTGCTAAAATACTGAAATTATTCATCTCTACTGAGTCCAATTCTTTGAAAACCAAGGAATTATGTGGAGAGTTTTCTTGGTACAGACAGACTTAATATCTTTGCAAATTGGAAAGCTATATATATTTAAACATGCTACTTTAATATCTACAGGCTACCTTTACCAACCTTACTGCTTTTAAGTCTCAACAAACACAAATTGTTATGTGCCTAAACAGAAATTAAAGCTTGACCTAAAACAGCTTACCAAAAAGTATAGACATACAAGTAATAACATCATAATAAATATTTTCTTCACCCAATTTAGTATCAATAGAAGCTCAAAGATAGGAATAATAAGCAAGGATTCAAGTGGTCAAGAAAGATATCAAGAGGAAGCAGACATTGAATAAGGAAAAATAAAGCATGAATAGAAAAGAAACATAAGAAAACGCTAACAAAAAAGTGTAAATAAAGGCATCATGGCAGAAATCTGAAAGGGTATCAAAGAGATAATCTAGTTGGAACCAAATGTTTATTCAGGTGAATGAAACTGGAGAGTAAAGGATAAAAGTGGAATGACATGAAAGGTGCTAACCACAAGTTTAAAATAACAAGCTAAAGAATTTAAAGCTCAACCTCACAAAATGGTAACTCAGACAGATTAATCTGTTAAATGTAAAGATAGAATGAAAAAAAGAAACAAGTCCAAAAGATTATTTCAGTAATCTGGATTTAAAATTAGGAGGGCATAGTAGTGGCACTGCGAGTAGAAGAAAACGAATTATGACAGTAACCAGTTGTAGGAGAAGATGGATAAAGTCAAGCCTAACAACTCAACTGGCAGATTTATGGTAATTCTGAAAGCCAATGTAGATAAAGAGTCTTTTTGTCTCTGAAGCTATTATATGTTGCATAAACAATGTTGCTGTTAAGAGCTGTAGAGCCTTAGATGACCCATAGCAACCCAATGAATGAAAGTCTTGAACATAAAACTTTCCTCTTTTCTCCAAGTTCATAGAGTTTACAGAGGCAAGCTTTTTTTTGGAAGTGGATGCCACTTCTCCTTCCAAGCCTGTTTTATTCTGGAGATCCAAAAAAAGCAGGCCTGAGGGCTGCAATATTTGAACAATAATAAAAATGAAAAAGATATTGCTTCCCAATTTTACCATAAATAATGTTATCTTTTATGTGTACCACATTTCCATGTTTTCATACTTGCAAAATTATGATCTTTAACTATTACAATCCTGTACATTTTAATTAATCTGTTTTAAACTATTATAAATAAAACTATGAGCCCTATTGTAATAGATAATACTTACATAGTGCTTGTCATGTACCAATACTGTTTTATTCTCTTCATATAATAATTCATTTAATCCATACAACAACCCATAAAGTAAGTACTATGAGAAGTCTCTATTTTTTTAAAATTTTTTCACATATTATCTATTTTATTGAGATATTAATCTTATCACACATGGTCCAAGAATACACAAATAGTAAATGGAAGTATAATCGGATGTATTCAAACATCATAGCCATGCTTGCCTATGATCTCGCTGATATAAAACCACAACCACACCTCAGTGGCCACCAAACTATTAAGCAGAGCTTCCTTAACTGGGAGCTGTCTGAAGTGACCAGTTTGAGCACTACTGTTTTTTTTCAGGCTCTGAATAGCTGTAGCGATCTCAGCAGGGATTGGAGGAACCAGCTCCACCTTAGCAGAGTGCCAAAATGTAGCCAATCAAGGCTTCGAGTAAGTCACAGCAGCATTAACCATTGCCGAAGCTTTCTCCACCAGGTTACGGACAAATTGGACCATGGTTCTAGGACCCCCTGAGAAGTCTGTTTTGTAGAAAAGAAAACCAAGGTACATAATTATGAAGTCATCCTCCCAGAATCACAGAGTAAGTGGTAGAAGTAGAATTTAAAATCAGTAAATTAACTCTATAATACAAACTAAGTGAAGCATGAGGAACTCACTGCAACCCATTAAATCTTAGAAGAAGGCAATATATTTATGAGAAGATGTCAGAAAAGGAACTGACGTGGGCTAAGTACTCACGGATTTGGAAGTTAGGTTTGGGAAAAGATCTGGGAAGTGTCTTCACAAAATAGCAAAAGAGGTCATAAAAAAAGGTAAGATTACTGAGGGAAAACCTATTGAATAAGAAAGTCAGAAAACCAACATGGCCAAACCCTGGGGCACTTTTTGAAGGATACAGAACCAGGAAAGAAGGCTGAGACTCAACATGAGGCAAGAGAAAAACAGATCAGCATGGGAACACCAAAGGTGGGACCTAGAATAAAAGGAAATCATGGAAAGAAAAAGTAGTTTCTATGGAGACAGGATGGGCAAGAGGATCAAATGAAATGGAGAAGAAAAAACAATAATAACTTCAAAAAGAACACTGGATTTGACTATCAGATGATCACTTAGGAGACACATAAGCATGTACTGAATATAGAATATTCTGGGGGGGAAAGGATAGGTAGTGTGATGTATGAGACAGGAGGGAAAAGCTAGATGATGAGGTTAAGATTAGATGATGAAAGCATTACAAGGAAAAAGGGTAATCATAGCAGGAGAAAGAGAATCCAGGAAATACTGTGTTTATAGATCTATTTTATGCTTTTAATGATCCAAGCTAATGGATGGGAATAACAGCATGCATAATCAATCAAAAGTAACTTCTATTTGGTTTTGGAATACTCATTTTTTTATTACTAGATTTCACTTTCTATTTCTATTTTGCTTATATTACTATTTAGTACTTAAGGTCTTTGCCATACTCCACACAAAGCACTTAAGACTCCTTTTTCATTACTATTAAAACTATTTATAAGTGTGTACTTCTAAGCAATTCTATGTACAACAGATTGACACCCTGCTTGATCCTGTGACACCCTCACAGAGCTCACTGTGCATAAGCTCACCAGGATAGCTGCTGTACCAATCCATGTCATCGAGGGTCTTCCTTTTTCACTGATCCTCCCCCTTTCCAGCATTATGCCCCCTTCTTAGGATTTATCCTTCCTTGAAAACATGCTCAAAGCTTGATGAAGTCTCACGAAATTTCTTTGTAAGGAGCAGGGCAGCCACACTTATTCCAATACAGATTCATTTGCTCTTCTGATAGTCCCTGATATCTTTAAGACTCTTTACCAACATCACAATTACAGGCATCAATCCTTTAGTCTTCTTTATTCACCGTCCAACTTTTACATGCATCAGAAGCAACTGAAAATACCATGGTTTAGGTAAGGCACACCTTTGTCTTTAAACTGACATCTTTGTTCTTTCGCACTTTAACAGAAGTTCCTGACAACAGATTTGCCCAACAAAATATGTTGTTTGATTTCTCAACTGCTGTTTCCATGGTTATGGACTGTGGATCTAAGTAAAAATTAATCCACACTGAAGGCTTTAGTCTTTTATTCAGTATGTGCTTTAAGTCATGTTCACTTTCAGCAATCAAGGTTGTGTCATCTGCATATCACAGGTTTTTGATGGGTCTTCTGATAACGATGCCACATTCCTCTCCATACAGTCCAGCTTCTCAGATTATGTGCTCAATGTAAAGGCTGAATAAGTATAGCCAAAGAATCCAACCTTAGATGCCTATCTTTTCTGATTTTAAATCATGCAATATTCCCTTGTTCTGTGTGAACAACTATTTCTTGGTTCATGTACAGGTTATGCACAAGCACAATTAAGTGTTCTGGAATTTTCCTTCTTTTCATTACTATCCATAATATATTATGATCCTAATATACCATGGACTGCTAGGAGAACAAGTTTGTCCTGGAGAGGGTGAAGTCAGGCTGCTCCTTGGAGGCAAGGATTCTGAAGCTTCATCTGACACACTCTGGACATGTTATAAAGTGGGAACAGTCCTTGGAGAGGGATGTCATGCTTGGGAAGGTGGAGGGACAGCATAAGAGAGGTAAATCCTTGATGAGACTGAGTGATTCAGTGACTGGGGTAATGGGGGTAGGTGTGTCAAAGACAATAAGAATGGCACAGAATAGAGCAGGGTTTAGGGCTGTTGTACAGAGAGTCACTATGAGTTACAGGCGACTCGATGGCACATAACAACAGTCAAAAGCCTTTACATACTTTACAACTTTACAAAAAAAAAGTAAACATCTTTTTGGTATTCTCTGCTTTTATCTAAGATCTATCTGACATCAACAATGATATCCCTCATCCCATGGCTTCTAATAAATCCAGGTTGAATTCTGGCATTCTCTGTCAATGTACTGCTCAATTCTTTTCTTTAATTCATAATCTTCAGTAAAAATTCACTTTTGTATGGTACTGATATTGTTTGGTAATTTCTGAACTCTGTTGGATCACCTTTATTTGGAATGGGCACAAATGTGGATCTCTTGCAGTCTGCTGGTCAGGTAGCTATCTTCATAATTTCTTGGCACAGATTAGTAAGCACATTCGGGGCTGCATCTACTAGTTGAAACACCTCCTTTGGTACCCTCTCAGTTCTCGGAGCCTTATTTTTTTGCCTATGTCTTCAGTGCAGCTTGAACTTCTTTCCTCAGTACTATTGGTTCTTGAGTATAGTATTTGCAACAAAATTCTATCATGTATTCTCTGGCCTCATTTCTATCATTAAAGGCAACAACCAAGTTTTCCAAGAACCAGTCCTCCTTCTTTGTTCATAACTTTTCCATTCCAGTCACCAAGTATTATTAATGCATCTTGATTGAATGTTCAATCAATTTCAGATGCAGAAATTGGTGAAATCTTCAACTTCTTCATCTTTGGCTTTAGTGGTTGCTGCACATATTAAAATAAAAGTCATCTCCAACAGAGTAAAAAGGAAAGTCACAGACTGGGGAAAAATTTGGTAATGACATGTCAGATAAGAGACTTATATCTAGAATGTATAAAATACTTGAGCACCACAACAAGATAAAGGTAAATAACCCAATTGAAAAACGGGCACAGGATATGAACAGACACTTCACCAAAGAAGACATTCAGATGGTCAACAAATACATGAAGAAATGCTCAAAATCCCTAGCTCTTAGAGAGATGCAAATCAAGACAACTATGAGATATCATCTCACTCCAGTAAGAATAGCAAAATTTAACAGAGCAGCAAACAACAAATGCTGGCAAGGTTGCAGAGAAACTGGAGACTTAATTTACTCTTGGTGGGAGTGTAAAATGGTGCAACCACTATAGAAGGCAGTACGGAGCTTTCTCAAGAAGTTGCAAATACAAATACCATTTGACCCAGCAATTCCTCTACTGGGAATATACCCTAAAGAAATCATAACTGCCATTGAGGCAGATATATGCACATCCATGTTTATTGCAGCTTTGTTCACAACAGCAAAGAGTAGGACCAAGTGCCCATCAACAAACAAATGGATAGAAAAGCTCTGGTATATTCACACAATGGAATGCTATGCTGCACTGAAAAACAAGGCACTCATGCAATATTATCAAAATGGGTGACCCTGGAGGACATTATGCTGAGTGAAATATTTCAGTCACAAAAGGACAAATACCTCATAGTGCCACTGTTGTAGAATGGGACTGACATTGGGGTTGGGAAGAGACTGAGAAAAACTGGATAAATTATGTATACTGTATGAAACAGATGAGAGAGAGAACAGCTTAAAAATGATATATGATTGGGTATTATGGTTATGACAAGAGTCCAGAATGAAGGTTTCATAGTGGAGTTGGGGGGAGGGGATTGTATACCAATGAAGGAATTTTTTTTCTTTTCAAGGAGAGGAGCGAACTGGGAAGGGGGAGCGGTGGGCAGGGAGAAAAGTGCAACAATGAATAAATGGAAATCCAAAATCTCTGTAAATGTTCCTTAAAATTAAAAAAAAAAGTCATATTAACAAGTTTTTGTTTTATGCATATGGGTATTATTTTATCACCATGGCATTGTATTTCATGGCAGACCTGAAATGTTCTTTTTTAGGATGAATATGACACCATTCCTCTTCAATTTGACAGTAAAGGCATAGTAGATAACATGACTATCTGATCAAAAATTATCAACAGCAGTCTACTTGAGCACAATAATTCCTAGACTATTGATATTTTTTTTTTAAATTTGTGTGTGTGTGTGCGTGTGTGTGTGTACGGTCAAATCAGATCTGACTGGTACAGGAGGAGACTGTCCCTCCTTCTCCAGTAGAGCATCTGGTGGATTCGAACCGTGTACCTCTGGGATTGCAGTGCAACTTCTTGCCATTAGGCCACCAGAGCTCCCCTAGACTATTGATCTTGATGTGTTCTGTTTCATTTTTTACAACTTCCAATTTTCCTAGATCCATATTTCAAACATTCTACACTCAATCTTTCCACTAAAACCAAGTCTTTTCCCATTAAAAAAATACAATGTGGAAAATACCAACCTGCTCTGAAGTAGATAAGGGAAGAGGTAAGGACCCTAATTCTTTCAGCAATTCATTTGTTTCCTTTGCAAGCTGATTCGTAGAGTGTTGTAACTGTTGCCTAAGAAAGAAAAGACTTGTTTTAGTATATTCTCCCTTCTTGAGAGCTGATACAGCATAATTTTATTTTCAGAGTGCTTCACAAGCAGGAAGCGGAGAGTATTTGAAGAAAATGAGCTCATAACCACTCAAAACCACCACAAAATTCCAGAAACACAGCCCAGTCAAACTCACATCTCAGCATCTCAGACCAGACAGAATATGCTGAAGGAAGCAAAGGTCAGAAATTTTAACCCTGAAGAAAGCACAGATTAGGAATTTTAACCCGTCAGAAGAGAAAAAAAGCTTGTAAGAAGTTCTGAGAAATGTAATTGTCATCCACACTTGAACTTAGCAATTTAACAAAAAGCATTCCTACTTTACTGCCCAGGAGTTCTACACAGTTGGTATTTGTCATCTACTAAAGAGAGCGAATCCAGGCACAGGTGGTTGGCAGCAACATACATTCAAAGCACAGCTTTCCACCTAGGGCAACCAGTAAGGATCTACTTTCCTACTCTTGTATAAAGTTAGTTCTTTATCTTTGACTTCTTACCTGCCCTTCATGATTGACTTTCTGGCTCTTTCCACTAAAACAAAGAAGCTAGATGCTATTTAAAAATATGTACATAGGAAAAGTATAGCATTTAAAAAGAACATGCATTAAATGGATTGGAAAATAGTGCAAATATGAAAAGAGCTTATTCATGGTTTCATCTCTTCTCTGGTCATTCTCATGTAAGTTTTAAGGAAGACAGAGAAACCATACCACAAATTATTTATGCTTCTTCTACTGCAAAGGACTTACAGGGGGAAAGAAAACAAACCACCAAAACAACCCTCCATACTTTTGACATGGAGTTAAGCAGGAGTCTGAACATTCTAGACAACACTAAAAGCCTCCATTTATCCTATTTCACATTTCCCTTGGAAAAGTGCAAAACAAGAACAGCAATTTTCTCACTTCACAAAGTCTGGGATAGAAAACAAAGTATTTTAGAGATGAAGAATAGAACTTCTAAAATCATAAACAACATCAAAAGGATGTATGAGACAGAATCAGGAGTCTCCATCAACAAACTACTGTTATTTCCCTCAGGCTCTCTTGGGTCATTTGGAATAAATTGTTCTAATATTAGAAAGACTCATCTAGATCAGTTCTGCAGCTCATCAGGAGCCTTATGCCAACAAGGAGGTTCATTCTGAAAAAGTGTTATGTATAATGTAATAGTAGTAAGGGTTCCTTTTTTCAGCTTCCAAAAACTACTCTGCTAAACTGCCCACAGAAAGAATGAACCAGATTTCAAGAATCAGTAGACATTATAATTCATGAATATATTCTGTTGCCCTTCTTCTAGCTCCAGCCATGTCATGCTTAGATGTCTTTCTGCCTTTACACAGGTCAGAAACCTGCTTTAAGCTGCCACACAGTATGGGTATCAAATGTGTCTTCAAAGGACCCTCATAAAACCCAACCTTATTGGGAAGCTACTCACAGATTTTCTTGTAATTTGCTTGAGTCCTGCTTAGTTCCTAGTTGACTCATCAAATTCTTTATCTGAGCAGCTGGTGAGAGGGAAAAAAGAAAATTTCTTTTAAAAGAAAGTATATTTTTCATGAGCATCCTTCTTCTCAGACCACTCCTCTCTCCCCACATCCTGAATAAGTAAGTAGCACTTCAAATTATTACTTTATCTTGAGATCACGTTTTTTTCAACAAAAATGTAACTCCAACTTTAGAAGAGAAATTCATAAAGATTAAAAATTTGCCTTCTGACAAAATTCTCTAAAATATAACTATTCTATCAAGTGCAAGTTACTTACATATTAATGGTTACACAGGAAAATGTTAGCATTATAGTTACTGCCTTCCACTAATGCAACATTATATATGATATGTTGTCTTTGTTGTTACAGTGTTGTTGAGTCATAACCTACTGATAGGTGACCCTCCAGTGGGTTTTCAAAAGCTGCAAATCACACAGAGAAAATTATCCCATTTTTCTCCTGTGGAAAAAGCTGGTGGATTCAAACCTCCAGCCTCTGGGTTGGCAGCACAACGTCTTAGTCACTAGGCTGCTAGTATTCTCATATGTGCTATAAGTAACTATTTTTCTTCATTGCTAACAAGTGAAACTCCTTCTGAGTAAGTAGTGGGAATTAGCATACCACTAAAGTTATCAACTGGACAGTCATGCAAAGAATTTTTTTCCCTCACTACATGTTTATTCAACATAAAACAATTCCCTCCAACTTTACAGAAGTGCTGACCACATCCACGACCAAATCAGTCTCTAAACTGGAATCCAGGTGCTGACCAAGTCCCAGCCTTGGCCTTCTTGTCAGTACCAGGAAGCACTGCGCACCTGTATGTGTGTGTGTCTGTTAGCCTCCCCTTGAGTCAGTCTTGCAGGCCGTTCACCTTCCAGATCTGGCCTGCCAGTCTCAGGACGGCTGTGGCGCGAGGTGGTGGGCACACTTTCAGGGGACAAGTGGAGGTAATCAAGCAGATTAGATAGCCTTGCTGGTAAGGTACCAATAGAAATGTCTACAGGCGAACCATTCCTTCACACAGCCTTGTGACCTAAGGTTCTGCCTGGCCTTCATGACATAAAGGTTCGGCACATTTTTGTCCCACTAGTTCAGGGTGCTTTGGCATATGGACATCCTTCCTGGCCATCATCACCCCCTCCTTAAAAAGGAGCTCTTATATGGCAATCTGGTTCTTCTTGGGCATCAACATCGGACAGTGGCTGCATTCAAAGCCAACTCTGCAAATAATTTATAAAAGAGGGTTGTTGTTGTTGTTGTTGTGTGGTGTCAAGTACAACTCATAGAGACCCTATGAACAACTGATCTAAACTCTATCCTGTGCCATCCTCATCATCTCTGACACACTTCAGCCCAATGCTGTCGTCACTGTGTCAGTCCACCTCATTGAGGGTCTTCCTCTCTTTTGCCACTCCTCTACTTTTCCAAGCATGATGCCCCCTTTCAAGGAATAGTCTCTTCTAACAATAAGCCCCAATTAAGTGAGATGAAGCTTTGTAATTTCTGCCTTCAAGGAGTATTCTGGCTGCACTTTCTCCAAAACATATCTGTTTGTTCTCTTGGCAGTCCATGGGATATTCAGTGTTCTTGTCTAACACCACAGCTCAAAGACATCAAGTCTCCTGTCATCCTTACTTATTATCCAGCTCTTAGATACACAGCAAGTGACCGGAAAGACCAAGGTCTGAATCAGGTGCATTTAGTCTTCAAATGGACATCAATGCTCCTCACTAATTGAGAGGACACTGACTGCAGACTTTCCCAATGCAATACACATTGCCTGACTGCTGCTACCAAGGATGTGGATTGTGGATCCAATAACATGACATCATTAACAATTACAATCTTTTCTCCATATATCTTGATTCTACCTATCAATCCAGTGGTGAGAATTTCTGGTTTTTTGATGGTGACTTGTAATCTATACTGAAGGTTGTATTCTTTAATCTTCCACAGCAAGTGCTTCAAGACTTCCTTACTTTCAAGTAAGGTTGTGTCATCTGTATAACACAGGTTGTTGATGGGCAAAATCTTGAATGATTGACATTCATTGTCAAAAGACGATGAAGGGAATATAGTCACTTAACAAAAGGAATTGATCACTACCGAAATATTTCAAAAGTACCATCTGATCAAGATAATGGTAATTAAGGAAGAAGCTGAAGCCAAACTAAAGGCATGGAAAAAATTGTTAGGACCTTCCAACTAGGCACCAGATACTGAGCTAAGTCCCTGATAAACATTACCTAATTGGAGCGAACCCTTTAAGGTGTTGTATGGCTTTTTGGGTTTTTTTAATCAAGATCCATCTTCAGTAATTTATTCTCAGTCTGTCTTTTTTCACCAACAGTATACATTTCTTTCCTATATCATGGAAGAAATCACAATAGAATTTATAGAATTAGTAGACAGCTGTAAGTGTGTGCTTGGTAGGGATGTTGTTCACAAGTGTTAAATGCTCTGTACTTTAATCAAGATTATCACAGTGTTGCCGGAGGATGGCTCTGTGAGTTAAGTACATGACTGGTGAACAATTTTATAACTAACAAAATATCCACGAAGGCCCTCAGCATCTATGGGCAAAAGGGCCAAGTACACAGTGGTCTCTGCTCCTTCTTCTGGGATTTTGTTTAAGATATCAGTTCTCACTCAGCCTGGCAGCAGCCATTCAAGACCTTGTCACCTTTCCTCATTCACTCAAGACTATTTCTGGCAAGGATTCTGGACAGGGCAGTGACCCCAATATTCAATATGCCATATGCGGTATTAGACCAGCCCTCCTTCTGGTGTGCCCTGTTCTTTGTATCTTCCACAAACTTGTTCAGGAGCACCACCGGCTCTTCCTCTGTGATGGTCTCACTCTGGAACTTCTACTACAGCTCTGGGAGCAGGACTTAAGGGGCATGATGCTCATAAAGCTTGACATGTTCACCGCTCTGTCTTGGGGTTTATTAGAGGCAGCAATTCTGCGCAGGTATTTCAGCTATTAACAAAGTTTGTTTTCAGTGTTACCTCTGCTTGACTATGAAGAGGCATATGATCAGCATTCTTTTTTTTTTATGATCAGCATTCTTGAAGGCAATTCCCACGTTGTTGATAAGCACACCTAAACCCTGTCACCCCTCACTGCACAGCAAGTCACTTAGGGTGTGGATGCTCTGCACTTCGTCCACGTTCAGCTGGTAGCCCTCCGCCACCAGCTACACCAACATCTGGTCCCACTTCGCTTCTCATGCCGTGAGCACCACGTTCTTGGAGAACTAGTCACATGGCTCAGGTACCATGGTGGCTAAGGTGATGCCCCTGTTGCTTCCAGTCTCCAGAGCCATGTGAGGAGAGGATGAATTGGCCAGTGGAGGTGAAGGACACCTGTGCTGTATGCTTTAAGTATTACTATACCATATTACATGTGGGGGAACTGAAGATTATCGACCTTACAGAGCTAATTTATTCATTCATTTACATTCAGTTTTATAATCTAAGGGAAAGATATCTTAAACAAATATAGATCAGGTGTTACTAGGAAAAAATACAGATTGGACAGAGCTAGAATGACAAAGCGGTCAGTGAAGTGAGTGCTCTTTGATAAAGTGACACTGAGCAGAAATCTAAAAGAAGTGAACAATCAGACCATGCAGGTATCTGAGCAAGGCATTCTAGCCAGGGGAATAAAGTCCCCAGAATAAGACTGCCTGGTGTGATGGAGAACCAGCAAAGTGAGAGGGAAGGAGGAGGAAAAGCAGCCAAAGGGGTCAGGGGGGAGCTGGTGGTGGTGGTTGTTGTTGTGTGATGCAAAATTGACCTGCTAGTGGGTTTTCAGAGGCTGAAATCACATGGAAAGAGACAGCCCATCTTTCTCCTGAGGAACAGCTGGTGGATTCAAATCGCCTGACTTTGGGCTGCCAGTGCAATTTATAAACTACTGTAAGGACTTCAAATTTTAATAAAATTGAAGCTACAAACAAATTTTGGGAAGTCATATCCATCTCCATGGCTAATCCCAATGATTACATTCTTTGAACCACATAAGGCTGACTCTGAAGGAAACAGAATGTAATACCACAGGTCAGGCCTGTGTTTCCCAGTGTTCCGCTTAGCCCCACCCTACTTATCTGATACCTCCCTAACTTAATTGCCCTTTGCTCCACATAAGTTGATGTCCTTGCTCAAACCTGTTCCTTTCCCAAACTTCCTCCCACCTGGAGGAATATTCCTTTGGAATAACTAACCAGAGTCCAAGGTAGTGCCAGGCACACAATGAGTATATAAATAATTGTCCATAATTTGGTTTTGCCTGTGGAGAAGTTCACAGAGATCTGTTCTGCTAAACCAGAAGAAGCACCTCTCCAGGGGTTCAAATTCACCAGCAGCTCTGTGAGTGATAAATGGGCAATCCCGTCCCATGGAGGGTCAGCTGTGAGTCGATTCCCAGCCAACAGCAATGACTTAAGACTTTTACACTATGGCACTTTCTCTGAAGCAGAAGTTATGAATGAATATGACTTTGATATGAATATGATTAATGAGACCAAAAAATTTAAATCACACTAGGCCACCAGCTTGATGGTACTAGGCAAATCATCATGCTGGGTCTCTTTTTAATAACTGTTTAAGATATTTATACTTAACTGACATTTACTGAGTTCTTAGTATTCGCTAATTGTTTATTATCCATGCAGGGTTGCTGTTTGTGAAATCTTTACAACTCTGTGAAGACTACATGATCTCTAAGTATTCCTACCATTACTCAATCCCAAAATCCAATAATAATAATAATATGACTCTAGTACAGAATGATGCTGTGTAAACATTAGTGTTTCTGCAATACAGAAATCTGTCTTAGAGACTACCTGTAAATTATTTTTTACTGACTATAAGCCACTCACTTTTGTGTTTGCCTCACACACACAAACCCCTCCAGAAACAGTTCAATACATGACTCATAGAGGTAGGTCTGACAAAAAAGTCAAGGAATCAGATCTCATCTTATTTGCTTTATAATGTAGATGATCTGG